AAGCTGTGGGCGCTTGAGAACGTTTTGGCAGCGCAGCGTTTTTTCCGTTGAGACGTTTCGTTGCTATGATACAGAATATCCGCAGCACAGTTTACTTTTAACTGATTTTGCAGATAATTTGTTTCATAATAAAAAAACATTTTTTTATCCATGTTGTTAGTTAGGTTAGCTCTGCTGGTTGATATCATTGTACAGAAAGAATGTTGTGACGGTTGGTCGGTGTGGTATTAGTGCCGCCCTGTGCACTGTGATTGGACGGCTGGGTAAAAAGTGACCGTGATGAGAGCTGCGTTTTATCCAAAGTTGAACATTTTTCAACTCTCGGCAACCAGTAAAAAACGCTGTGCGCTCAGCACTTCAGCGTGGAAAAAAAAAAACGCTCAGCACTTAGTTACGCTCATGGCGTTTAAAAAACGGGGCGCTCCCATAAACAATTGAAAACATGCGCCAGGCGTGTGGAAAAACGCTTTAGTGGACACACGGCCTTATGAGTCTCTTAACATAGCCTAGTGGCTAAGTTTATGCAACTGCAGATCACGCTCCAGCTGTAAAACAGTGTCTGATTGGTCTCTACTCTCTATACGCCCAAGTTTCCATTGGTTGAACTTTTAAATGACGGTGGAAATCACTGATCCCAGAAGCCCTATAGCTTTAGCTTTAGCATGTTTGGTCTCATTTGAGACCAGCTGCTCTAAATAAAGATGTCAAGATATGTGATCTACTTATGGTTTACTAATGTTTCGAAGTTACAAACCAAAATGTGCCACCAAAAAAAAAAAAAAAAAAAATGCACGTGTGGTGGCAGCGCTTTTTCATTCAAATGCTTACTTGGTATAGTGTGGTCCCTTTTTCACGCTATGAAAATAGAGCACATCTAATATATCTGCAAATTGCTCTTAAGTGATGGTCATATTCATATCCACTGTAAAACCAAGCTTCTAAACTTTAAAATGACACCTATTTTGTGTTGATTAAGTAAGGTTGTTGAGTAAAGATAACTTATTAGCGCCCCCACTTCGGATTTAGGAGGTTAAGGTTAACAATTACAGTTTTTCTCGATTGTTTACACACATTTTCTGAAAGAATCCCTCATATTCTCAGAACTCTACACACAAATCTAAAAACACTCACACACTTGGCAAAACCCCCCAATTCTCCTGCAAAATTAAACTTTACATTCAAAACAATGTTATTTCTTCTCAAAATGGTATTTTGTTTTCAAATGACACACACAAACCATCATATGAATAGACATTTATAAGAACCAGTTGAACACTGATGTGCTCAATGTAAAACACTATGATCAATGGAAAACACTTCTTCTCCATTCATCATAATGACTTGGGCCTTTTTTTGTTCAGTGTTACTTACTACAGACATTACATACATAAGTGTGTTGTAAAATATTTGAGAATATTGTTTTTATACCCAGAACATACAAATACACGGTAACAAATATATTTTATTTTTCCCACAAAATCAATGGGAGATAGATCCCACATTTTGTACACCCCAACCAACACAAAGTTGCACATACAGTGGCCCACATACAAAACAACAGAATTTTTTATGTTATGTTACAGTAAAAAAAGAAATAAAAAAATATCTATGCTGCATTCTCTCTTTGGTTTTGGTATTTTATGCTAAAGCTCTGATTGCTAATTGTAAAACTGTGTGACGGGTGTTTGCCCATGTGACGAGTCAGTGTGAATATTTGAATGGTAGTGTGTTCCTCGTGAAAACAAGAGATTTTCTGCATGAAAATTGTGCCAAATGCAGAGAATTGTGTGTAGTGTTTTGAAAAACGTGTGTTTTAGAACTGCAATTCGAGTGTAAAGCAGGAATTGTGCTTGTAGTTCAGCAGAATTGGTTCAGGGGGTTGGTCAATGAGTTACATGTTGTGGTCATTGTGTCTCAAGTACCAGAAAATGTGTGTAAACAATCGAGAAAAACTGTAATTGATGTTTAATTTGAACTACGATCGATTATGAATTTATTGTAGGCCTACATTGAAATCCCCAATTCCCTAGTTTCAGTTTGCTAGTATATTTTTTATTTAGGCCTATTTATTTTGTTTGTGTTCAGACCTCTGAGTTTTCATTCGATGTCAAAGCAACTTGTCCGTCGACCTGATTATGTTTACACTGATATTTCAGTTTGCTGTATTTATTTTGTTTGTTTAGAAGTAATATTTATGTCCTACATTTGGAAAATATCATTAAATTACGTTTTTAATGATGCGGTTAATTATTATAGATTATTTATTTTGTGTACATTCTGATCTCAGAAAAGTTTGTGCAACGTTTGCTGGCGTGACTGCTTTATGCACGCACTGTAGTGCTTAATTTATATTTTTAAATACTCATTATTATGGTTTAGTATTTTGCCCCCGACTACTCAACTAATGGCTAAAATGAACGACTAACAGTCGACTAGGAAAATCTTAGCCTACCATTTACATGATTCATAACTGAATGCGACAAGACAAGGAATGTTTTGCAATTTCAACATAGACATAAGAGTAAATGCATGCATATTTTAAAATAATATATGATCCGCAAATAGATTAAATTGATTACTTCATAATTAGACCTAGAATTTAATTTACCATTCTTATTTCTTTTACTCTATTCCCTTAAATCCCTTTCAATCCAAATTGTTTAATTCCATTAAATGAAAAGACCAATTATTTTGTTGAAATTCTTCTATTTACGCATATCCGAGTGAAACGGCTTCTCAAACAAGAATAAATGTAGGGCTTGATTTTGTCCATTTGCAACTAAGTGGATAGGTCAGGTCGCTATTGCTGCGACATCATGTGATTGACAGGTTTTCCCGCCCTCGTACCAGTAACACCTCAGAGAAAATATTAGATGTCACTTGTAACTTAAGATTGTTAATGATCATTTAAAATAAATATTCCTTTAAAATGTTTGAATTGTCCATTTTGATTTCATGGTGACCAAGTATTTTTAGAAACATTTCCAAGTCAATGTAATCAGATGAGCCATTTTCTCCAGAATCACGTAATCACACAGCGTTTATACACAACAGACAAGTTACACCAGAGAAGGCAGAGGAATCTTTAATCTCTGGGGAGAATTCTTTTTTTGAACATCTATTCTAGCTGCCTTCTGGCAAATACGACAAACACACCCACAAACACACGCACAAATAAAGGGCAGCTCAGCAAAGAAAACATCCTGAGGTTAAAAAAAAGGAAAGGAAAAGAAACAAAGGAGAGCAGAAAATACTTCCTGTCAACAAACCACCACAAACAAACACACAAGGCACATTTAACATTATGCCCAGCAAAACTAGACATCATTATTCTTCAGGGCATGGCATGAGAACACACACAGGATGTGACTACATACCGACTCAGAAAAACCCGCATCTAACTAAACACACTGACGAATCTTAAATGACTAAGTTTGGCTGGCAGGATGGAATCCTAATCTAGGTAAAATCACAAACAATTTGAGATTCAAATGACAAAAAAAATTATCATAACTTGAGTGAATTTTGAGTGATCATTGAATACTTAAACCGCTTTAGTCCAGAGATTAAAGAAGCAAAACTAAACTATAGGCCAAGTCAAATATACAATCGATCAACAGCTTAAAATTTATTTAATCTCTCAATTAGTTATTGTCAAGGAGCCAATGGAACCGATCCCCTGGTGGTAAACAAAATGACTGCCGTTTCAGAGGTCTACAGTTCAACCTTACAAACCCATCAATGTGTAAAGCGCATTAAAGATTTTTAGTGCTTATAGAAAATCATTGTAACACAAGAGAGGATAAACGTGAGACCCTTAAATGCCGGTTGGTGTAAAGTTGCACTGGGCTAATATTAAACCCACCCTGACCACAAAGAGGAAATTGTGAACATTCCTGAATCCAGAAGAGACGAGGAGAGAGATTGGGAAAATAAGAATTAACTTTTCCGATTCATGTCCTAATGTGATGCATCACTTCCTGATTGTTCGGGGTCCCCATGTTGTACATGTAAAATTCTAACAATTAGCCTAAGTGATTGCACTTCTATTTATTTTGGGATCAATTTGAACACACTTTTTAAAAAATACAATAAATAATAAAATAGGCCAGTATAAAAATAAAATGACTTCTTACAATGTATACCAATCACAAAAAATGCCTTCATGTATTCATGTTTAATATGTGAAATGTTTGAATTACCAAACTTAAATGTTAAAGACATTTTCTGAAACATTAAAATTCTCGCAAAACTCAATAGCCAATATTTTAATATTAAGAATGTTTCTGAGACATAAAACATTTATCTGGGTCTCAGATCCCATACAGAAGTAGGCATGCCTATGATGCTCCAAAATGCAGTCTAGGTGGGCAGCACATAAGGTTTTGAGACACAGCCAAGGGTACTTATAACAGCAGACCCTAACTTGGCCAAACTCCACATTACCTCGTTGAACTGACTGGGTGCTATAAACCAACCCAAGTACCAACACATTAACGTTACTCTAAAAATAGCCAGTGGATGCCATATTATAGTCTAGAAGTAGATTGATTTGAGCATTAGAAAGCTCTTACAAAAATGAAATGGTAATCATAGTTTGCCTCAAAATACTACAAACGATATCAACTAACGTTACCCTAGTGAAACAATGCTTTTAGAAATTGTGTCACTTTGTTGTGAAACATATTAGAAAGCAGTGGCTAATGCCAAGTCACCACAGTAATTACATTAACTGTAACGTTAGTAGCTGGCTTCTTGGTGTACACTATGGTTCGTTACCATAGTAAATTTACAAAGAGTGCAAACACACTGCTGTGTTTTGGTAAAGCTCCACCGTGACCGAATCTAGTGCGCGCGCATGTGTGCGTGAGTGTGCGTGATTTTGCGGGCCAGCGCTGCCACGTAGAATAAGTTGTTTGGGAAATGCAAGGAGACTAAACCCTCTGTACATCCTGACCGCCATACAGTTGAAATAATAAAGTTAAAATAACAAAACTCACCTTTTTGGTGGCGTTAGTTCTGCGTATTCCCAAAGTATTCCCAAACACACCTTCTTCCATGTAACTCTTGCTTTGACTCCTCAACCGCGCTCGCTAGTCTAGCACATAATCCCGAGCTGCGAACTCAACCCCATCGGGCTCCCCAACACTCACAAATCAAATATACATGTGGAGGGAATTTCCCAACCGTGTGTAGGAGGGGTGACAAACACAAAAGGAATCGGCCGGAAACGCTTCTGTTACACGGCGTCTCTTTCCCTCAATTTTTAAAAGCAACGCAGTGGTTGTGAAATCTTTGTGCGATTGAGGTGTTTACATTTAACCTAGCGTGTACGAAAGAACACCCCTCTGCAGCTTACGTTGGTAGCGTCCAAGGCTGCTCAACATACCTTTCCCTCTGCTTTCCCTCAGCCTGCAGAGGAGAGCCAATGAATCCTGATCCTAAAGCGAGGGCTAACTTTATGAATATTAATGAGGTGATGTAGACGTTGCTTAGTAACCCTCCCGGAGCGTCCAGTTACGTATTCATTTAATATTAATGAACCAAGCCTTCTCCATGAAACGATTTGTGTTGTGCAGCCAATCACGTAGGCGTATTAGGCAAACGTCACGTTAGGTGATTAATATTCCTGAACTCGACGCATGCTGAGAAGATAGCCATAACTAGTTTGACCAACTAGCTAGCAGTTAGTTGGGGTAATCAGTCTGACTTTTGGATATTCAATTAGATGAAATACGTTTTACATAACTGACTTAAAAAGTTACAAATAAAGGGATAATTCACCCAAAAATGGAAATTTTGTCATTTACTCGCCCTCAAGTTATTCCCAACCTGTAAAAGTTTCTTTCTTTTGTTGAACACAAAAAAAGATATTTTAAAGAACGTTGGTGACCAGAGAGTTGTCGGTCGGTAGACATTGACTTCCATAGCATAATATTTTTTAACATTCTTTAAAATAACTTCTTTACCTGAGGGTGAGAGTGGACTGGCATAACCTTGCCAAATCATTTACATAGGTCACTTGCCAAGTACTGTTTGGGAAATTAGGAAAGACTTCATTTTCTGCATTTTATTTTTCCCAACTTTGTCATCGCTTGATGTGTGTGTTTCTATATATATATATATATATAATTAAAATGTCTAAAACTTAAATATAAACTTAAAAAAAAATAATAAATATGCCACTGAATTTTGTCAATGTTTGAAGATTATGGTGAATTGTGTTTGGGCATTAGGGATTGGGTTTTAGTCTCACTCTTAAGTTTTCGGGTTAGCATTGCAGAGTTTATTGTTTACATATAATACACCTTTTCTAAGTGTGAAGGGGTGAAGGGGAAACTAAAGGGGAGAACAAATGGAGACTGTTTCAGGTCATGACCCTGTGTGAGGTTCTCAAGAGTATGCGAACACACAAACTCACTGGTGTGTGTGTGTGTGTGTGTGTGTGTGTTTATTGGCTATGTGAATGTTAGGACTCAAACATGTTGTTATGAGATTCCTCATGATGAGTCCTTGATGTTAACCATCACACAGTACAGTGCACTCGGGCACTTAAAAAACAATAACGGCATCAGAGGAGAATGAGAAGAGATGAATGACTGCATTCAGACATGAAAGAACCTAATTCTTTGTTTAAGCTTTCAAAGAATCATGTTTTTTGTTAATTGAAGCTAAAAATAAGTTATATTTAAAAATTTGAATGTTGCATTGGAAACTAACTGAAATATGTTAGAAGTAATTACTAAAACTAAAATAAACTAAAGTTAAATAGAAATGTTGAAATGACAAAATCTATAATGAAAATACTAAAACATCTCAAATGAAATTGAAAACTTAAAATATAAAATTAAAGATAATTAATATTATTAATGACAACTATTATTTTTCAGGATAAAGTATTAACTCATCAGAATAAGTCAGAGAAATTGATTACTGCACCTTTAAAAACAGAAATGTTCTGCCCATGCTTTTGCTAAAGAGTTTATATTATTTTTTCTGTGCAAATGTGTGTGTTAGCTGTGTTTGAAATTGGTGTGCACAGTTTTGGGTGAGTGAATGTCTGGTTGTAGATATAATTCCAGTGGTTTTGTGTAATGTAAACAAACATTTTCTAGTATCCTGCACACATTCAATAGTTACCAGGTCAGCTGCCTTTACAAGTTCAAGACAGGAGATTCATTAGATATAATTGGATATAACTTTGCACAGAGGTAAATAACTGATTTTTTTTTTTTTCATGCTAATCTCATGTAAACATGGCTAAATGAACTGCTATATTTGCTCCATTTGTAGTGGATTGCTGCAAACATGATTTTTGATTGTTTAAACAGAGGCATATTACAAAAATATTTGTCTTTAACTTACATAACCAAAAATATCCGTTATAGATAGTAATTTGATAGGAAGGACGTGAGGCAGCTACCGTCCATCATCACTTTCATAAACCAGATTGATCATGTTCTGATGTTAAAAGTTCTTGTGTCATGATTTTTGAATTATATCCTATACAAAATTTGGCCTGCATGAGAAACATTTTTTTTTAATCAGGTATTTTTAGTGGGGGTGTTGTAGTTTATTTTGCAGGAGGAAATGGAGAAGATTTAAGTAAATATTTGGTCCTGTTTGGGTTTCTGAGCGCAGTCCAGAGTCCAGAGACATTACAGTTTCACTGAAGACAAAACACACTGTATTTACACGTGAAGGTCAAAGACCTGCTACAGCTGCTTAGTTTTGGTCATGTGGTCTACAACTTTTTGTCAATTAACATAGACTAACAATCTAAATGGATTTGTCTCCAGTTTAAAATGGTTTGTGTGTGTAGTGTCATTAATGTAGCCTACATATAAATGTTCCTATTTCCACCATACCTCTGTCTGTGCAGGTATAAAGCTAGTTTCGTAATTTCTTCTCTGTAATAGGCCAATCCTAAATCCTTTAAGTCGCTGTTGTTGGTAAAGATCAAGCAGATCAACTTTTTTGTAATACTCAAAACAGCATATTTATGCCGTCCCTAACCTGCTTAAAGACGCCTGTGACTGTCTGAGTAAGATTAAATGCTGTGTGTGTGTGTGTGTGTGTGTGTGTGACCTGATTTCCTGTGTGTTTGTATCATCCCTGATGAGCTGGATAAAAACAGGTATCTTTAAGGAGATCACGGACACAAATGATTGAAAAAAAACTTTACTTACAATTAATAATGAATATAAAGGCATATATCAATAATAATATCAATAATTATATCAAATATAATATCAATAATATAATATCAAATATAATATCAATAATTTTCTCAGCAATGGTAATAATAACTAGGTTTTTGCATTTTCTCAACCCATGAGTAAGAGTGTTGTGGGTGATCGGTTCACCCAAGTATGAATAATGATGTTATTTTATTATAATAGCTGCTATTTTAGTTCTAGCACTGAAAAACTGCATGATCTGTTTTAAACACATCTTTATTTACACTGTAGAGATAATCATCTGAAATATTTTAACTGGAAAAGCCTCTAGGCCTACCAGCAGCTGAGAAATTGAGTGATTTTCTTACCCAAATAATAATAAAAGCATGAAATTCTGACTTATTACATGCATTTCATCATACAAGACGCAAAAGACCACAGAGAGGTCTTAAAAGAGAGAGACATGAAACTGGGATGACAAAACGAGAACACGTTTTTGCAATATTTCCAATACATTTCAGCAGACCAAAAACTGCCGACAATATGAGCTGTGGAAAATTATAGCTTTTTACAGTGAATGCCATTGTAAACACAGTGAGTCTGTCCCTCACAGCCTCGATTTCAAACCTGGTGCTAACTATAATCTCTGTTGTAGCTCAGGGGTTCTCACCTCTTGCCCTCAAGGTCCACTTTCCTGCAGAGTTTTGCTCCAGCCCTATCAAACACACCAGACCAAGCTAATTAAGGTCAACCTTTGGTCAGAGTTGGAGCTAAATTCTGCAGGAAAGAAAACCTCGGGGGGCCCTAGTCTACCATCCACCTTCATTTTTAATGCACAATCAAAGACCATAGAAAAAACTTAAAGGGACTTTGGCACAATTAAGCTATAATTGTGGATGTGCAAAACTTAAAATTTTTCAGGCCAGACAACATCATCATCAGTCAAGGGCTGCGACTTCACTTTTTAATTGACAATATCCTGGCCGGGCCCGGACTACTGTTGTCAGTGACATAAGTATTTGAAATGAACATTTATGTCTAGTGACATATCAGGGAAAATTTATGATTAATTGAAATAAATTTCTTGCATACAGCTCCTTTAATAATTTTAATAAATATAATCATTTACACTCTTTTAGTGCATACCGTTTAATGTGCAACAACACTGAGTTGCTAATAGTATCTGCCACTTTTTAAGTATAAATATTATAAGTATAAAACTACTATTTACACTTACTGCAAATATATATAAAATACTACTATTTATACATTGTGTAATCTATCGCTATTTGTAATTAGTGTAAATAGCGTATATCACTGCTAAAATGCTGCTATTTGTCCAATGAACCTTCAGCTTTATGAAAGGTGTATGGGATGACACAGCATGCTGATACACACTGGTGCTGCTCTCTCCCCCAGTGGTTCCATTCTCAGGAACAACAGTGAAACCAGCATTGTTTTCTCTCAAACAATCAAGACTTTTAGAGCCTACAACAGTTTACTCATTCATGAACAGCCTCAGTGTACAACACTTCTCATGTTTAGTGTTGGTCAGTGCTTGACCTTCCAGTATCCCAAAAGCCCTATCAGCAATGTGAAGGCAAAGTCATGTCCTTAGCGCCACCGTGACACAGCTGATTTGACCAAACAAGACCAGGGGGCAATTACATAAAGTGCTTAGAGTCTTAAAGTTAGTCATATATATATTTTTTTTCTTCAAGACTAACTTTTTTAAGTCAGTTACATAAAAAGGTAGATTAGTCTAATTTGAATCAGAAAAGTAAGAGTGATTACCTCTTGACTAACTTCTAGTTGCCAAAATTGGTTCTTAAGACAGTCTTAAAGCAGAACTCCGGTGCAAAATGAACCATACATAGTAAACCGTTCTCTGAGATTTGTTTTCATGATAATCGAATGTAAAGAGTTTTATCTCTAAAAACTGTTTAGCGTAATGCACTGAGGGCTAAGTAAAAAGAAATCACTACTAACAAGGCTCAAAATAGCCCCACACTAACAATCTAACACTTTACAACAAGGTTCCATTTGTAGTTAACTCTTTAGAAGTATTTTTCTAATGTGTCTTATTAATTAGTTGACGTTAATTTCAACATTTACTAATACATTATTATCTGTTGTTAGCATGAACTAACAATTAACAATTGTATTTTTATTAACAAAGATTAATAAAAATTGTAACAGATTGATTGCTCATTAATAGGACTTTATTGTAAAGTGTTA